GGCTCTACAGTGTCCCCACAGTGTCCCTAAGAGCAGCAAAATGTGAGTGCTTTGAACATCCTGCCATTCAAAGTCATTCAAGTTAAGACTATTCACTAATGCTGAATTATCTTAAATATTCTTGTGAATTTTGTATTCTGTGCTATTATTTACAAAGCTGCTTTTGTCCTTTGTCCATCATGTGGGGAAATGATGCCTTCGGATTGTTCCGGGTCTCCGCTTGCCCATGTCTGTTCTCTTCCACATCACCCAGCAGGCTCCAGGCCCAATGAGTGTGATGGCAGGGTGTGCTGGACACGTGTGTGGAGACCATGGAGGGAGCCAGTCCAGAGAGGCTGGCCCAAGTCCACTCATCAGGAAGCCCTGGAGTCCCACCCTGGGAAGAAACATCTCAGAGGCCTCTCAGGAGCCAGTGTCCCAGCCAGACTGCACCCAAGACCCCTAGATCCCTAGACTTCCACTGTCACAAAAATTGTATGCAAAGTCTCTAGGTCTGTGGCGTCTCTCAGCCCTGGAGGGTCCAGGCTAGAGTTAGATGCCAGCCAGCAGGAGACCATATGCTAGGGACATTACAGCTCAGAGACAGCTCCACCTTTCCCATCGGTTTACACAGAGAGGATGGCTTATTCAGACCAGAGTAAACCAGGAGGCCAGATCTTGTCTTTCCTTCTTCCCTTCTCCCTAGACAAGGGAAGGCTCTGAATTCTCCAGACTCCCAGACTAAAGCCAGGGTGTCAGGGTAGGATGTCGGAAAATAACCTCCTCTGCCCTGTGAGCTGAAGGGGGGACATTCAGCCTGCCTGAAGCTGGCATGGGAGGCAGGCACCTGGATAATCAAGCTTAAACTTGCAGACCCAGCTTCCTCTTTGCCTGAGATGATGACAAGGTCCCTTGGAGGTGACCAGCCCAGCTCAGCCCAGGCCCGCTCAGGAGAGCTGTATCCATGTCTTATTCCAATTCTCTCACTCAGGCCTGAGGCTCAGTTGTGAGAGAAGCAGTAAAACAGTCTAAACAGCTTAGTGGGGTTCCCAGAAGAGGACCAGCAGAGTGGGATCTGGGGACAAGGAGCCCCTGAACCTCCCCAACCTGCCTTTTGGGTGAATAAGATGGTTATCGGGACAGAAATAAGACACCCAGAAGTCCCATTCACCATCCCTTCCAGGGACAGAGGTCACTTAAAGGTGCCCTAGTACCCTGGCCAGATGAGGGCCTGCCCAACCCCTCAGCTTCAGAACTGTGGTGATCAATAGCCTGGGCTTATTCTCTTTGCAAACACAGGCACAGACAAGACACTACCTACAGCACAGCCCTGGTATCTGCTGGACCCACGGCAGACAGAGACATCATGTCCCAGAAGCCCTACCCAGACAGTCTCCACCAAACCTGCCTACCTCCGGTTTGAAAGAGTGTCCCCCTTACAAACCCAAACGAACAGCTTGCTTGCTCAGACCATACGGGAGTCACTGCAAATGAACTAGGGTCAAGCTCTGGGAAAATCTGCTTTGAATCTGGACCTCAAGGGAAATGCGGAAAGTGGCTGCAGTTGGAGCCTTGGCAGAGACAGCAGCGTTTTCTCCCCTCCTGTCCCCTAGCTCCTCTCCTCCTGGAATGATGTGCCTTTAATCTGGTTTAACCTGGTTGAGAGACACCTGCCTGCTCAGGCTCAAGTGTCACCAGGAGGCCTCCCTGCTGTTTCTTGAGCACCAGGGTGAATAAATGCACTTTCCTTTAGTCCTTTTCTGCATGATCTCCGCCGAACCGTTGCGTCTTAGCTGGGGTTTTGGGAACGTGGAGTCTCTGCGCCAGGAAGCCCTACCTAGGAGATGATCTGGGCGGGGTTGCGAACACAAAAGCCCTGTGGACAAAGGCTGAGGAGTGGGAGTGGGGGTGGGGGTGGGGGTGGGGGTGGGAGGGATGGGGAAACACTGCGGACAGGGACAAAGGCGCAGACACAGCTGCTGCGTGCACGCGGCTCCTGCGCGCGAGTCCGCTGCGCTGCGGTGCCAGGCGCCCCCATCTGGCCTCGAATCTGGTAAACAAGTCCATTGTTTAAATGCGGTGAAGGTAGAAATTCCGGTCCCCAAACAGTCCCCCTGCCCCCCCCCCGCGCTCTGGGATAGGAGAGGGACCAAGTGTGCTCCCAAGGGTCCAAGTAGGGCGGAGGGACCGCCCAGCTCCGCACCCGCCACCGCCAAGCTCTTGCGCATCGTGGTTCCCTCTCCCAGCTGGGAAGGGCCGTGCGCAAAGGAACACCCACGGTTCTGCGGCAGCCGGGGCCCCGCGGGACCAGCATCTCCAGCTGCTCCACGAACCGACCCCGCATTGCGGCTGCGCGCGCCCGGAGAGCGAGTGCGTGTGCGAGAGAAAGGCCATCCCTCTTGGGCACCAGACAGAGTCCAGCACCACAGACTAGAGGACACTCACATCCTGAGGGCACCTTTTCCACTTGTCTCCATTGTGAGGGAGGGAGAGAGGGAGAGAGGGAGAGAGGGAGGGAGGGAGGGAGGGGGAGAGGAGAGTGTGTGTGTGTCTACGCGCAAGCGCGCGGGGAGGGGGAGGGAGGGTGCGTGTGTGCGTGTGTGTGTACGCGCCTCCGGGCCACCGTGCCCCAGATCGCTGGCCTGTACCCCGCTTTTGCACACACGTCCCCACTGTCTGGTGAGCTCTGATGGAGAAGGTGCCCAGTGACCGCGGCGAGACAGGCGCAGAGATCCGATGGGGTGGGCAGAGGAGAAGCGAGAGAGGGAGGGGAGAGGCTTACCACCGCCCGGCTGCTGCAGCATCTGCCTCGACACAAAGCTCACTGCCAAGCCGAGCAGTTGGCGGGAGGCCCAGGGACCCCCGCCCTCCTGCTATCGGTCCCAGCTGTCTCTAGCGCTAGGGCAGATTATGCCCCTGGCGCTGCGGCTTGGAGCTGTTTCCCTCCCCCACGGAACATCCAGCGGGCGAAAGGCTGGGGAAATGGTGGGCAAGTCACATGCATTCATTTAGGAGATAAAGAAGCTCCAGGAAGCTCCCGGGCTTCTCAGCCAGGTGGGGCCTCAAAGTCGGGTTGTCTTCTCTCCTCCACCCCTATTACTTGAAAGGACAGCTGGCCAAGACCAAAGGGAAGGGAATGCCACAGGGGCCCTTTGGGTCTCTGTGTCAAGTCTGTAATAGGTCTGGACCTTGTGGTGGCAAGCTGGCCTTGCCCAGCCAGGCAGGACCAGTCTGGGTTCCTCACGGTGGCTCCCAGGCAGGCAGAGCTAGGGCTCTAGCTGCACTCTGGATGGTAATACAGAGCCGACTTTGATCAGATGCCCACACTCTTCTGTTTCCTGCCAAGGGGCTAGGGGGATGCTTATTTCAGCTTGGAGGCTGCAGAAGGCAGAGCTCAATCCTGGGAACAGGAGCTGCTAGGGAGCTAGTGCCCAGAGGCCTGGTGAACTCAGAGGTGTGTTTGTCCTGAGGTAGTTAACACCACTCCCCAACACAGTGTCCTCTGCCTTTCATCAGCAGGACCAGTGGGTGGACCTGACCCTCTGCACATTTAGGGACCAGGAGACGTTTCCTGTGCTCTAAGGCACTGATTGGCCTGAAACTCTGCTTTCAAAACAGGCTCCATCTCCTAGACAGGACACTACATTGGCCCCAGCATCCTTTGGTTCCACTCTATTGAGACCTACATGGTCCCTCTGAGAGAAACCGGATTTCCTGAACGGGAGCCCCTGGTTACCCTGCCCTTCTCTGTAACATATTGCAGGTCATCACCACAGCTCCCGCTGGCTCTAGCCTCTGCCAGGTTTGCTGCCAAGGCTGGCATGGTGCTCCCAGGCAGAGCTGCCAGGGTGCAGATGCCTGCTGACCCCAAACCACCTCTGGGAGTAGCTCCTGAGGGTTCAGGAGCCAGGGTGCCTTCTGGGTACCCTGTTACTGCTGGGGCAGAGGCCTGATAAGGTTGGGCTCTTCACACTGGCTAGTTCTAGAAAGCTGTGCACGGCAAGGACCTGCCACAGCCAGCAGCCAGGGTGGGGAGTGGGGGGTGGGGGGAGGCTGAGATAAGAAAGCAATATGGCTACTACAGGTGTGTGTGGGAGGGTACTCAGAGAACCCATCTACACCCAGAGACTGCTGCAGCCTCCAGTGGATAGACTGTCGCTTCTATGGGCTACCCTGATTCTGAGGTCTAGGTCTTACATTGGTATCCCTGGGCTTGACCCCACCCAGAACTTGCCAGCTCTATGGCTTCCTGGTATCCATCCGGACAGGGGATGGCAGCCTCTGACCTGAGACACCTGACCCCCCACCCTGAGCCTGTCTTTGCCAGCTTTTCTCTGTAGAGCCACTGGTGCCCCCTTGGGTCATGAAAGTCTACTCATGGTCAAGGCCAGCAGCTCTGGGAGCTCCAGCCCCTCCATGGCCAGCAAGCTCTGCATCTTCCCTTCGAAGTACATTCTCAGCCACAGTCCTGAGCCTGTGCTTGCCTGAGAAGGTACCCAGGGCAGAAGCTTCAGTAAAAACAGCCAGGAAGCTGGGCTGATGGAGCAGAGAGCTTCTTGGAAGAGGTCTGGCTAGCTAATCCTGAAAGGCAGCCCAGCTGTCCAGGCCTCTGCATCTGAACAAAGCCCAAGCCTGAGGTGTTCCGTCAGTGTCCCACATTGCTGTTCTCTCCAGGAGGTGTGGGGCTGGGTCAAACCTCCAGGACTCGCTCTTCTTCCTGTAGGAAATGTAGAACAGCCCTGGAGGGGCACGGCAGCTCTTTGGACCTTGTTGCTTGGGGTCTGTCCAGACCTCTCAGCTCCTAGGGAGCTTGTTTACCCACTCAGATACCATGACAGGAGTGATAGTCACAAGCTGTCAGAGAGGCTGAGTGAGGGTGAGGCCAGCCAGTGGACAGACACAGACTGACTGATGACCAGCACTCACAACCCAGTGTGGGGACTTAACAGGTCCTTTTTTCACATCTTATATACCAACTCTCCCTCCTCTTGCCAACAAGAGAACCCGGATGCCATTCTTACCGTCTAATGACAGCCAGTCGTGCTGGGAGGAAGGAAGTGTGGGCAGAGCCCGGGCTTTGTATTCAAACACCACTGAGTTGGAGATGATCTGGTTGTTGAAGGCAACTTGTAGGGTTACAAGACCCGTGTCATGGGCTGAAGGGAAAGAGGGAGAGAGAGAGGGTTAATGTCTACCTCTCCACCCCAGCCTGTGCCCCCTCATCTCACAAGGCCCAACTGTATCACTTCTGGAAAAGTTCTTGGCCCCAGATTCGGCAGCATCTGGGATCCTGTTTCAACTACCTGTTTGTTCCTGTGCTTCCTAGGGAGGGCAGGAACTTGGGCTCAGCACAGACTGGCTGTGAGTGAGTGAGAATAAACAATACCTCCCTCTCCCCATGGCTGGTTGGCTTCTCCCTTGGCCCATCAGTCCTTCCTAGGGTGCAGGTATGCCTGCTTGGGATTTTCATTTATTTTACCCTTTCTTACACTCTTGTCCCAACTCACTTCCCATATTTCCTTAGCATCCTCTATATTTCAGAAGCTCTTCAGCATCCTACTGACAGCAGGTGCTTAAGCCGTGTCTTACTATGGTCCCTGTTAGAATGGGATGCTGTGGATACAGCAGCCCCTGAGTTGAGCATGAAATTGCACCTCCTTTAAATGGCCAGGCGTTAGGCTGTGGGAAGGCAGGAGCCTCATTGGGTCCTGTACTCCAGCTCCAACTCAGGACTCTACAGATCCTAAATGAGTTCAATAAATGGATGAAATGACCTCATTCGAGCAGGAGGAAAGCTGGCTGCTGGTGGAGACCTGCTTCTGCTCTGGGGTGAAGGCCATGCTTTATGGTCTCCATCAATATCTTGGGAGCTGACCTGTGGTTCCCCAAAGATGTCCCCTAGGCAATGGTGGCTGTGCTAGGGCTTCGTCCCTTGATGAGGGGGTCAGGTTATGTGTTCTGGGCACTGCTTTTCTGGAGCTAGGACACTGATACCCAGGGCCTCCCCGGTCCGGATTTCCAGGGAGGACGCACCGGGATCACATTACTGTTTGGGCTCTTGGCTTTCAGAAGCCTACAGGGAAGGAGGGAAGGAAGCCATCCAAGTCAGCTGCTCCTGAGGACAGGGCAAAGCTCTGGCTTCCCTCAGAGGACATCTGCAGATCCTACATCCGAGGGGAAACCCAACTCATTGGCCATGGCCTCTCTCCAGCCCAGGTGTATGTAAAAAGCAATAGCTTGCCATGCCCCCAACATAGGTCTTGGGGAGTCGCTGCCCAAGAGTGACCAGTGAGTTCTTTTAGCTCAGCAGCAGACCACAACCTGAAGAATAGACTTCTATGGCAGGGGTCATGTAAGACCTCTCATAGTGCCTCTTTAGGCAGGGATCCCCAGCCATGTCCAGAGCCTTCTGCCACCTGACAGTGTCCCTGGGCAGAGCTCCAAGCTCGCAGTCATCTTCTCTCTTGGAGTTATGCCTGGTTTACCAACAGGAAGGAAGGGCTATGGACACACGTCCCCATGTGATCCACTGGGCTCTGTTCTCACGGTGGGGGGAACTGAAGCTCTCTGGTGTCAGGCGTCGGGGGGCTCTATCATTGGTTCTTTCGCACTGTACCCTGGCATCACACAACTTGCAGTAAGGCTGTGTGGGAGATTCCCAAGGTATTCCAACTGTTCCCAGAGGTGTCTCACAGGGGACCTGACACAATGTTCAGGAAGTCAGGCTCAGTTCTTGGAGGCTTTTTTGACTTTCTCCCATTTGGCTCACACAGTCCAATGGGTCCTGGCCCTGTCCATTTCTCTCTATTGCCACAGTTTCTGCTCTCTTTTAAAATATTTTATTGATTGATTTTTTATGTGTATGAGGGTGTTGCCTGCATGTACATAAATGCACCCATCATGCAATGCCCACAGAGGTCAAAAGAGGGTGTTGGATCCCCTGGAACCAGAGTTACAGATGGTTGTCAGCCGCCATGTGGGTGCTGGGAATCAAACCCGGGTCCTCTGGAAGAACAGCCAATGCTCTTAATTGATGAACTATCTCTCCAGCCCCTGTTTCTGCTCTTGTCCAAGCTGTGACCATCCCTTGCCTGGGTGGACACATTGGCCTCCTGCCGAAGGCAACAATGTCAACACGTCTGACATCTGACTTGCTGCAGTGAGCTTGGAGGCCTGTTTTGCAGGACCCTTGGATGAGGTCGTCAGGGGAGTCTTCCTTAAGTCTTTGAAGGTAGCCCTTGGCCCTCTTTCCAAGGCTTCCCTGTTTTGGTTATTTCCTTCCTAATCTATTCTTTCAGAATCATCTTTTAAAGACAATTTAGACCAAGTCACTCTGCTACCTAAAACCAATGGTTTCCCATGGCAAGTAAAATTAAATCAGACTACTACCCATGGTTGGAAGGCTGGACACCATGTGGTGTCGATCCTTGCCCCCGTCTCTAACATTGCCAAGCTCCGTGTTTCCTAACCCTTCATTATTCCACAGACAGCCTGCCTCTTTCTGCCTCAGGATCACTGTGCTTCTTTCATCCTCTGCCTGCCATGGAACCTTCTTCCACCCTTCTGAAGACTGGCTTCATTCCATCCTTCAGCGAGCCTCCAGGTGATGGGCCCTCACATCTCTGAGAAGGACCCTCCACTGCGATATGTCCCCATGCTCACCCTGGTTGCTTCTTTAGTTCTTTATGTTCTTATCTCCTTGCATCAGTCCCCTGACAGCCGAGACCCCATCAATTCAGCTTTTCATGTCCAATGCCAAGGTCAGTGCCTAGGTCTTGTTCTGGCCATTCATAACTCTGTTGAGTGAGCTACCTTAGCACCCACATTCTGCTCTCTTTGAGTTTCATCTTTTGCCAGTCTCCTAGGGACCTAGGTGGGGCCTGCAGGATGGCAGTCTTGGAAGAGACTGCTTTCTGCCTCTTGTCTACCGCTTGCCCTTGCTGGCTTCACTGACACCCTGTAGATCCTGGACAGTCCCTGCCCATGTGTCTACCACTACCAGCAATAGTATGGGGATGACCTGGGAGGACTGACTTTCTCCAGTCAGGTCCGCTGAGCAAGGGCATCTATGCTCCCCGTGTCCCCTCCACCACCTCATTCCCAGCCTCTAAGGTGGCCTGACTTATGTTCACTTGCCTCTGAGCCCATTTTTGTTGGCAAGGCTGGTTTGGTTCTGGTATCCAGTGTTTAGCCTGCAAGCTCCAGCTTCCCCTGAGAGACCCCAAGATGTAGTCTTCGGGCTCCAGTGGCTGGCATTATCTTCCAGGGCAGCAGTTGGGTAGCATGACCCCTCCTCCCTGTACTGGAAGCTCTTTGAAGTCAGGTGTCCCCTAGTGGCTGGGTCATAGTCTCTGCTTCGGTCTAGCATCTGCTCATGTGCATGAGAATCATTCTCAAAAACGGCTTGGCATATGGGGAAAGAATGAATGACTCGGTCAATCAATACATTCAGAAGACCTGTTTCAATCTGGGTGTTAAAGCAAATAGATCCACATGGGACCTGCGTTGTGGGGTTGGCTGCCTGCAGAAGGTGCTCAGCAGACACACCATGGTGCTCAGCCTGCAGGCTTTGGTGTCTGGTTGGAGATGTTAGAAGAGCCCCAGTGACTGGGAGAGGCAGTAGCCTGGATGGACTGTGTGTGTGAGTTCTGGGGACCCCGAAGTTCTGTGGGGACCAACAGAATTGCCTGCAGAGACCAGAACAGCTCTGGTTTCCTCTCCTCACTCTGCCTTCAGAAAGCAAGAGAAGGCTTTCTTAGCGGACTACCGTTATAGAGTGAGTGCCAGAGACGGGTGCTTCATGACCCTTGGTCACTTCATGCTCCCAGCCATCTGGAAGGCACTCTCTAAAGACTGAGGCTCAGAGAGGCTGAACTCCAAGCTAAAGCTACAGAGACGGCATGTGGATGACTGGGTAAGACTGAGTCCAGCTCCCAGAATCCTCTGGGTCCTGACCTGGGGTACCATGTAGAGGGCATGAAAAGTCCAATTCTTTGTTAAGAAATCGAGGCAAGGGGCTGGAGAGATGGCTCAGTGGTTAAGAGCACTGGCTACTCTTGCA